TAAAATTTGAATGATTTTTATTAGAAATAATTATTAATTTTTATATTGAGATACAAATCTTTTTGCACTGATCCATATATAAAAATAAAAATTTTCATATATATATATTTTCATTGTTTTTTAGTAAATATTTTTAATTTTTGTATTATTTAAAGTTAATTAATATAAATATTCAATGAATAATTTTTATTTGAAATCTCAAATGCAAGAACTATTTTAATTATAATATTTAATTAATTATAAATTTACTTCTTTTTTCACTTTTTTTTAGTATTTTTCACTAATTTTTGATAAGTTTATATTATTTAATAGAAAAAAGTTATTAAATACTTTATAAATCACATATTTTTAACATATTTATTGATCTGATTCATTTAATTTCACTATTATTTAATTAATTCTGACTAGATAAATCAATAATTGTAAAATTATATGAATTGAATTATTGAACACATTTCAAAATGAACAAATTTAATTTTGAAGATTATCATTTTTTGTATTTAAAAAATTGATTGATTACTTTAGGACATGATATTTTAGTATTTAGTGATTCAAAACATGTAATTTTTATTATTGTTTGATTTATTTTTACTTGGTAAATCAAATAATGATAAAATCAGTCAGATCTTACTATAGTTACTGTACTTGGAAAAGCAAAATTGGATGGCTAAAGAGAGATGTGACTATAAAAGAGATTTTTTTTAATTATAGTCACTTAATAACTGGAAAAATAGATAACTATAAAGAGGTGTGATTATAGAGAGATCTAACTATATATTGGATCACTGAATGCTGAAATATTGTATTCTAATAGTTAATTAGTTTTATGAAGGCAAATTTCCAAGATTACAATCAATTTTCATCAATTTATTGGCAATTGATTACTAACTTGATAAGGGATATTGTCAAAACTTTCAGAGTCTGGTGATGATTTATTACCATGAATTCAAACTCATATTATTTTTTTCAACAAAATAATGTGCAGTTTATATGGTGATATAAAAATTAGGATCTCTCAGAAAGAGATCAAAACACACAAATTAATCCCCACCATCACCAATTCACAATTTAATTAAGCACTTTTGAACATTGTATCGAAAAACTGGTTTGAATACACTAAACATTCAGATATATATTAAACATTAAAAAGATATCAAATATTAGCCGTTACAAATAAGTTATTTTTTAATCAGTAAAGTGTCCGGTGACTCTCTTCCGCCGAGTGTATATCCGGTGAGTAAGAATGCTAGTCAAAATTTGAACAATGTGGCTTTCAAAAAGATCGGTTATTTCACTGCTTTACGTATTGGAGAGTTGTCCTTTTGGAAACAAAACCTAACGTTCGGTCCCGGAAACATAAGGAACTTAAAATTGGTAATTCCAAGGGACGTTTGTGCACCGGATCAAAATTCCGGCTCATTATGACGTAACTTTATCTTCTTCAAGTTTATTATTTATAATTTTTTCAATATTAGCTTTTTTTATTTTCTCAATTTTTATGTTAAAATTGTGCATCACCTTTACACATTTTGAAGGCATAAGAAACTAAATAAATAAATAAATTATTCGATAGTGTTTTATCATTGAATTCTGCTTCAGCTTGCATCCTCGCAAATCGTCATGTTCTTATTAGAATTCAATCTTCGTATTTTCTGACATTTTATTATGCCTTTATATAAATGACTAATAAGAGTATTCAGTAAGACTACTGCACTAGACCATAATGCAATCAATGGAATTATATCGTATTCGATAGTATTCTGCCAATAGCAAACCTAGATAATAGGATCAGTCATGAAAAAATAATCATCTTAGTTTTTAAATAAACATTAAATGTACCGGCAAAGTTATCTAATATATTTACCCGTATAATAAACTGCGGAAGATCTTCAATAAATAAATTCAATGTGCTCGTTATAAATATAATGGCCTCAGCACGTTCAGAAAACGTAGCAGAAAAGATTTGCAGGCCTGCTACTTGAGAATCAAGAACATGCAATATAACGACATCACCACTGGCAAACAAGGTAAATATTGCGGCGACTTGTGGATACTTCCGGAACCAGGAATTAAATTTGTCGTTTCGTGAATTCTCTGATAATATTACGTATAGAGCGCTAGCACAATTCATGATTATTGGAATTATTAGGGTAAACAAACTAAGTATATGTAGAATGATAATAAATACATATTAATATTGTTAATCATGAAACATCAAGAAAACTGATTATCTTTATAATAAAAATTTCATATATATGTACCTGTAAATATAAAGTTCGGGGATATCTTTACTATTAAATATTACAAATGCAAAATCGAAAACAATATCTTGAAGAATCAATGCACTTGTGAAAATAACACTATTTCGTCCCTTATTTTTCACAAAGAATTATATGGTTAAAATACCATAGCAATTTAAATATAAGATTGTAAGACTGAAACTATAGCTTACATTTTTATTCTTCCGCCAAGCCATGAGAAACACAATAAAAATTAAAGAAGCGGCAACAATAGCTATAACAATCATGAGCTTATATTTTTCCCATATATTATCTTAAAAAAAAGAGTTTAATTAAATTAACGTCATTAAAAAAATATGAAATCTGATCAATTGAAAACATAGTTTACTTGTTTCCTGAAATCCAAAACTACTATCCAACCAGTTGGTATAATTATATCTTGAAATAGACGTGATATCTTTATATGCGATAAGAGTATTCAAATTACTCATCACTTGTTTGATGCTAATTTCGGAATTATCTTTTGATGGTAGGATAGTTATTCGAAGAAGAATTTGATCACCGACGATTTGGTATTTTTTATTTATTTCAAGTCTTTCGCGTGAAATTGGAATAGCATTTGCGAGCTCATTCAATACATCTTCATATATGGAAGAACTATTTTTTAATAAGCTTTTAAATGTCATTGACGCCTCGGGTGTTAATCGAATTAGTCCTGATTGTCCATCTACAGGTACAGAATCAAATATTTATACGATAAGTAAGCGGATCTATTTATTCTCAATCAAATATAGTTTAGAATACCTTTATCAATTCTACCAGGTTTAAATGGCTCTAAAAAAAGAACTTTTATTAATGGTATTGAGTAAAAAAAAATCGAAGATATAGATATTTACCAGTAGTAAATTGCCAACTTTCTTTATCCAATCCAAGCAAAGCCTCACGTGTATTAGAATCTCGAACAAAATTCGTATCAACTATCACATAATAAGTAGCATTTGGGATATTAAAGGTAGAGTCTAGAACATAAATCGTGACTTTTTTGTCTTGTATAGTAACTCGATTTATTCCTTGACGAAAAATGTCAGCTGATCCATATTTGCCTTCTTGATATATAGTGATATTACCAGATGACAAGATAACAGGCTCAGCATAGGTAATGCTTATCTGTGTTATATTAGATGAGATAACGGCGCCAATTGTTGGGAAAGTAGTGTCGATATTTGGATTGTTATAACGAATATCAGCATCTTTTGGAAAATTATCCCTGTTAGTAAGGAAAAGTTGAAATCAATCAAAAACACAAACATACGTACTTGCAGCCTTAAGCCTAGGAAATTCTTTTGTTATTATTGTCCAGTTTCTAGCTGTTGTTGAATCTTTTTTTGCGGCCCATAACGTATTCGAAATATAACCACTTGAATGATTTGTAAATGTGTTATAACTCCATTGTTCTCTTACATTACCATCACGATCTAACATAACACCACCTGTCTCGTTTGTTACATTATTTATTACTCCCAAGGTTACATATCCACCATAGAAAAGTGGAAGTAACGTCATATCATGGATTATTTGATCAGCCTTTAATCTTTGAATATCAGTTACTGAGCCTTGACTTTCAAAACGAATACTTGAAACTATATTAAAAGGTTGATTCGGATTTGCTAATGTTGTATTGTAAAGGTGACTTGAAGTAGAATTATTACCGCCTGCGGTATAATTTGATGTGCCATTCGTATCCATAAAAACCGTACTGGTAAGATTCACCGATATTAACATAAGACATTCATTTCCTGTTCCATCAAAGACCACCGCACAATGCAGAATCGACATTCTTATGTATGGCATAGGCGTCTGATACATAATAAAAGGTTTTGTCGGAATCGTGCTGTCAGGTTTCAAAAATGATACATAAACATTCCATTGCGAAAAAAGCACATCCTGCAAATCTGGTGCTATAGATTTGGTGACTACAACATAGCCAAATCCTCCTTCAAGTATATTTAGTGATATTGATGAAGTAGCTTCTTCATTATTGGTATTATTATAGAAAAAGCCTTCTCCGTTTTCTGAAATTTGACCGTTTTCATCGCTTTAAATTAAAGAAGGGATATCATTAGGACAATATTTATTAAAATTAATCTGAATTGATAAGTTTATTTACGGGCTTGTGAATCTGTTCCATCTTATATCCCCGTTAGGTGAATGGTATGTTCTTAATAACCCGTCTGAAAGAACAAATCCAACTAGAACTTTACTAGAGTACGGTGACCCAAAGCCAAGCCGAAAAGTACTGATTACATTTGCAAAAACACATTAATAATATTAATATGTGTAATAGTTAAGATCTAAATAAAAAGTAAATATAATAATAAAAATTACTTTTTAATATTTCCCCAATAATCTACAAAAACCCCATTCTCTTGATAAACGCCATCCACTGTAGGCTG